ACCTTGTTGTCTCGGATTCTCCAGCATCTGCAGTTCCTACTATCTCTGATCCAAGAATGAGATGGCACAGATTTACAGTGATTCACAAAGAAATAAACGTAATATGGTATTAAAAAAATTTAATGCAACAGGTAGTTCGAGTCAAGAATGCACTGCTTGGAAGTGTGGTGGAGGCAGGTTCAATCAAGACATTCAAGAGGGCATTAGCAGTTTATTTAAACAGAAATAATGTGCAGGGTTATGAGGAAAGGGCAGGAGAATAGCACTAAGCCATGATGCTCATCTCAAGAGCCAGTGCAGACACAATGGACCAAATAGTCTTTTGCAATAATCCTGTGATGCTGCACTAAAACCTACACTTGTACCCTCAATATATTTTCAATGGCCCTTGACCCTTTAGCAATCAGATCACATGAGCTTGTCTTTGGGCAGAATTATTAGGAGTTCGCCTTTCCTACCCCTTCAAATGTCTCAATTTTTACTCGCATAAAAGGACAGAGTTTAAAACATAACCATCTTATAATGTCCAGTAATAAACAGGGTAACTTGCAAAGATATCTTAAATTTGAGTCTAAGTCTATTTTAACTTCTGGGCCTCAGCCAAATTAAACAGAAAATTTCACAACCAATGGTGTCAGAAAGAGAAAGTTTACCATTTTCTCACTTGCCTCTGGAGGTGTATTCAAAGTGAAAATTTTCCTCTTAATGGGATGTTGGATTACTTCTGGCTGGTTTCACTGTTTCATTGCCGTAATTTGAAATCTGGTCAATAATGAGTCTTGGGCTCAGCTTCCAAGGTTTCAGAAGCCTACCTGGAGGTCAAAAAGTTAGGTTGAGGTGGGAAATTACCAGGAAGATTCCAAAACTAGGCCTTCAATAAGGCTGAAAATGAGTGATAGTGTCAGTTCCAGGGATATCATTCCCAGGAGGTACATCGAGTGGAGGAAACAATTCAATTATCTCACAAGAGGAGCGTGGGTGTAAATAGCTCTTTGTCTTCCCATCACTCCATTGTGCCTGACAGTAATGCTGACTACCCACTTACCCCAGCACTCTGGACAATTGCTTCCCTTTAACACATCCCTTACCACCCATCACATGTGTACACTGTGCCAGTTCTCAGTTCCAGTTCAAACGCACCCTCATCTCTTCCTTACTCCCAAATCAGCAACCACTGGTAGCATTCTATTTTCACATAGGAGCCTTTGTAGAATTTAGCAGTTTCTCCTATAAATCCGACCAAACAGGTCACTTCAGCCACTTTGATTCTAGACAACCCTTGCCAATCTTGCTTTCCTTCTCATGTTTGCTACAAGGAGACCGCCTCCATGGTTGCAATCTCCTTTTTATTTGTGGGCACTTCTTTTTCTATCGCAGAAAAAATGACCTATGGCACCAGATAACACTGGATTAGACTCATGAGATTGTCTCAAGTGTGCTCCAGGTCAGTGGCCTCTTAAGAACTGCTCCACTTGGAAATATTGAGCCCAGGATCTTGAGTGCAGAAGACCTCTGATCACTGTTTGTAACTCTTCAGAGATAAACACACATACAAACACCTTGACAACATCGTGAAGCATGTCATGTGATACTGTGAAGACTATCAGTTTAAATCAAACTCTTTCTTTTTCCAGTGGATCCTTCTAGAAATAAAAATGGGCAGAAAAAGTCATCTCTTCTCACAGTCAAGTCATTCTGAAGGCACACCATCAGATGCCCAACCTTCCCAGAGAATAGCTTGGACAGCACCGCTCCACATGGGTTAGATACTGAGAGGTTGTGTGAGCAGAAAACACCTGGCACCGTTGAGGAGCAGCTGATATCGGGTTGCGGGAGAAACAACACCCCAGCAGAAAGCCCCCAGTTCTGCCAAGCAGAATAGAGATGTGAACTTCAGCAACTCTGAAAAGAAAAACTGGTTGCCTCTCACAGGCAGCAATACCAGTTATCGGAAAACCTGCCAATGAGTTTCAGCACCCTGGATGGAGGTGAAGCAGAGTCTGCTTCCAGTCAGTATTGTGTCATCTCGACTGACACTGGCATCCTGCAATCGATCTTCGTACAAAGATACCAGGCTCAAAGCAGTGGAGGTCTGCTGCAGCTTAATCTTTTAGCTTGTCATTTTCTGCATTTTACTTTGCCTTTTGTGAGTTAACTGGTCTAACGTTGAAAAGCGAAACGAGGCAGAAGCGATCAGTTACCTCAGCGTAACAGCTTTCACCTGAGACATCAGATGCCAGTTTGCCAGAATATTGGGCATAGAGACCAAAGCCAATATACCTTGATCATCCCAAATTAATCAATGAAGCAAGCA